GCAACTCTTCCCAGCTGGGGACATGCATGTGACCTAAGTTGGTCCAATCAAACTGCACAGGAGGACTTCCGACCCACATCTCTCCCCTCTCTCTCCACGTAGTTGTAAAGAAAGAAACATGTTGCTGCTGGTAGGCATCTCAGCACCATGAGGGAAACTGTCTTAGTTACTTTCTCACCACTGGGACAAAATAACCAGAACCCACACATTAAAGAAGGAATGGTTTCTTTTAGCTCATAGTTTGTAGAGGTTTCAGTCCATAGTAACCTGGCTCCAAGACAGAGTGGCATGAAAGAGGGGCACAGCAGAGTAGAAACAGTCCAGGGCATGGTAAGCAGGAGACGTGGAGGCAGCAGCCTTCCTTCTTTCCCTTTTATTCCACCCGGGCTACAAGCCTATTGGTTGGTGCCAGCCACACCCAGGTGGGTCTTCCCTCTTCTGTAAATCCATCACCCACACCGAGGACTATGCTAAACCAATCAGTGGACTAATCCAGCATCACACACCCGTGACCCAGCCACCTCCTCAAAGCCCCACCTCTGAGTGCATGGGCCTTTGGGGAGACATCTGGATACAAGCCAGGACAGAAGCCAGGAACAAAGCCAACACATGGAGGCGGGTTGGGTAAGGGAACATGAAGAAGAGGAGCCCCAGCCCTAATCATTCAAACCTGGACCCTGCTCTATCTCAGGACTTCTTGGAATGTGAGATGGTAAGTGTTCCTATTTTTAAGTCAGTTTGAATCAAGTGCTACCTGCAGCCAAAACATGCTAACTGACCTATCTGTGGAGCCTCTCTCTCACTCTCTCTGATTTCTTTCTTCCTTTATTTGGAGGCAGCAGGCTTTTCCAGCTGTGTGGCCTTGGGTAAATTTTTCAACCTCCCTGGTCTTTGTGTCCTTGTGTTTAAGGGAGGAGCTAGACTAAAATAATGTGTAGGATCCCTTCAAAGTTTAACACTTAATGCTTAATAATATATAACACTTTGGCTAAAAAGACAACTGTCATATTAAGTAGGTAAGGCACTGAGATTAGTTCAAACTGGTCCAAGCTGAAAACAGAGAGTTGCCAAAGCACTAAAAGAGATGGCTGGAGAAGACGCGAAGCAACCTCCCATAAACAGCAGGCCTCGAGTCAATGAACACAGAAAATCAATGAGGCAAAAACCCTGTGCCCCTGAGAATGAATGAGGTGAGAATAAATTGACCAAAAAAATTGTATATTCCCTTTATACTCAGCCAAATATACACTAAATTCCCAGTCTCTCTGTTGTGCCTCCTGGCTCTGCCTACCCAAAGAAGTTAAGAAGAAAGGGTCTCAGTGCCTTATTCATGAGAAAATAGAAATAGAAATAGTAGAAAGCACTGGAATGGTGGGATGAGAAATGGATATTATATAGGTCAAGAGGCTCTGAGAGTCCATTTTGGAGGCACTTTCCCTTTCTACATTCTTGTGGATATTTTGTTCACTGTGAGCCTCCTGTTAAATGCGTTCTGCAATGGCGAAAGACAGACTTAACTTGGAGTAGTTTTGCTTCAGTAAAGAGCTGTTTGTGGAGGCTTGTTGCAACTACGTATCTATCACCTCCAACCAGATAGGGATCCAGAGAATGATTTATTTATCCATCTATTTTTTAAGAGCCTGGATCTTGCTATGTTGCCCAGGCTGACCTCAAAACTCCTGGGCTCAAACAGTCCTTCTGCTTTAGTGTCCCAAGAAGCTGAGACTGCAGGCTCACCACTGCACATCACTGCAGTGAAGGAACCGTGAGCGTGAATAATTAAGTGGCTGTCAACTTGAACAGGGGAGCAGTACCATTGAGAACCCAGAGACAAGCACGTCATCCTGTGTCCCAGGCAGCCATGGCAGTGAGAACTGCCATTGTATTTTGTTGCTAACGGACCTCTCTCAATTATTCTTTGCAGGTACAACCCCCAACTATGTCAATTCAAGAAACCCTTTTATCTTTATAAATTAATTATCTCAGGCATTTTGTTACAGTAACAGAAATCTGCCACCACCTCCAGAACCATGTGCCCAAAGCCTTGTCCTCCATAACCGTAAAGACTTCCCCATGAACTTGCAGATGTTAGACATCCTGGAAGTAATTCATGGCTTTCTCATGCTTTCCTTATTTCTGCTTCGTCAACAGCAGTGGCATCCACTTTTCACACTTAGACACATTCCAGGAAAGTTTCTGAACTCCAAAAATAAAAGATCAAAAAGAAAAACTTTTCAGAAAATTGAGTTATAAGCACTTATCAAAGTTTCCTTTCAAATTTATTCAAAGGAAGACCCCCCCCCCACCAATAGACAACTCTAAAGGTTTCTCTTGAAGTAGTCACATGTATTGGGAAAAAGGAGGGGCTAGAAAAGACCTAGTTAAAGATCATTAGATTGCTGACAAATGGTCAGCTGAATGGATGAGAAGCTAATTTCCCAGAGGCAGACTCTCTTTAAGCTCATTAAAGTTTATTTTTAAGTTGCTTAAAAATCTCATCAAGAATACTAACTTCTTCCCAGAAAGAAGTTGGGAAATACATCACACAATAAGTAAGAAACACATGATGTTCCAGACTACATTTAGGATATTTTCCTTTAGATTAAAAAAAAAAATCCTTAAACCTCTCAGATAAAAGAACACTCCCTTTTTCTTTCTTTCTTCTTTCCCTCCCTCTCCCCTGTCTCTTTCTTTCCTTCTTTCTTCTTGCTGCTGTGGATGGAAACTAAGGTGCATGCCAACTAGGCAACTGCTGTACCATTGAGCTATACTCCCAGCTAGCGCTACCTGTATTTATCTACCTAGCTAGCTAGCTTATTTCATTCCCTTCTCTCCCTTGTCACTCCCTTCATTTCTTGATCCCCCTCCCATTTGCAAAAGACCTATTGTCTTATTTCTTATTTTCTATTTTTTATTTTGTTCTTTATATTTTGGGTTTCTCACTTGAGAAACTACAATATTTAAGCTTTGTGTCTGATTTATTTCATTTAACATTATGGTCTCAAGATACATCCATTCTCCAACAAATGACTCAAGTTTATCTTTCTTCATGGCAAAGTAGTACTCCACAGTATATAAATTCCACATTTTCTTTATCCATTGATCTGTTAAGGGACATATAGGCCTTTCAAAGCAAAGAAAATCATTCTAGTTCCATACTACAGTCAACCTAGAATCAATACATGATATTTCAGACTTTCTAGGGGAAAAAAGGAGTACTTCAAAATTTCTATACTTGACAATAAATTCTTCATACATGAGGGCAAACTAAAAATGTTTTTGTTATGCAAGGATTCTTGCAAAATATTCTACTTTATTTTTAAAATTCCACTTTGTTCTTTTTCTGGAAAATGCATTCAAGGAAGTACTGTAGTGAAACAAATATTAAGTTGGAACAAGAATGCCTAGAAAGATGGAAGCAAACTAAGAAATATGATGAGTAACTGATGAAGTAAAATTTAGAGCTACATAGGTGATGATGCTATTATAAAATATTAAATCAGGGCTGGGTGTATAGCTTAGTAGTAGAATGCTTACCTAGCATGTGCGAGGCTCTAGGTTTGATCCCCAGGACCAGAAAAAAGAAGTAAAATAAGACTTCTTAAAATAGAGACCTGTTGTAAGAAAGAGCAGTGATACCTTCTCCAACCTTTTCTGTGGCATCCATCTCCTCTCTGTCGTTCAGCTGTATGACAGTGTGAGGGAGTTTTTATGTGAGTAGCCTATAAGTCTTCTGCCTGCTAGACTTAATTTTCTTTTCAAAATACTGAGCTTCTAGCAAAATTCCACTTCTCTTAAGAAGCACCAACACTTGAGATGTTCTGAGCTTGCCCCTAAGTATGGCCTTTCCTATGAGTAACCTCAAAAAGACAATAAAGTAGGAGATGCTAGCAAGAGTATAAGCATGAAGATGGCCAGCATCCTGGAGTTTTGCCCTCCTAATCTCAACCTTAAGGGAGCCAAAGGAAAAACTGCCTGAAACATAGTAAGCAATCCATACATTTTTTAAAAAGAAATAAAATAGAAACAACTTAGTAGATTTATAAGATTTGCATAATTTATGAAAATGTTTGGTAAGTAACAACCAACCAGAGAAAGTAATTGTTAGATCTTATTCATCTGATTTGTCAGGAGTCAAGTCTTTCTTTCTTTCTTTTTTTTTTTTTTTTGTACTGGGGATCGAACTCGGGTCCTTCCACTTGCGAGGCAGGCGGCGAAACCACTGAGCTAAATCCCCGGCCCTCAAGTCTTAAGATTTGAGGACAGTGACTATATTTATGACTACCAGTTTGTGGACTCTAGAAAACTACCACGAACCCTAAGGGTACTCAGCGTGCCCAAAAAGCAACTTTTCCCCAGGTACTATACTAGGTGGCTTGTAGATGGTTAAGCTTCTGACTCATGAGACTGTGTTTTCAAATACATTTGAGGAATGGAACACGATAGTATATTTCATTCAAGCACAATTCATTCAGCCGATGTTTATTGGACCTTTAGACTGCAAGCACAGTGCTGGGCCCTCAGGCTCCTTACATTTTCTGAATTGCTTTCACATGACTATTCATCCGATCATCATAAAAGCCCACGAAGGGAACATGGATTATTGTCACAGAAGAGGGGCCTAGTATCCAGCAGGGTGAACTATTTTGTCCAGAGTTTTGTCCAAGATTGAAAGGAGGATCTTTTGACACACAGTCCAGTGGTTGGCAGAACAACTGAAGAACACAGGAGTGTTTTTAAGAGATCCTGCTACCCAATGACCCAGAAGAGCTGCCAGTGAGCCCAGAATGTGTGTACCCACTGCAAGCATCCAGCCATTAGCCAGGCAGCCTCACAGAATCTGATCCTAATTAGTAGTTCACCACATACTATGTGCCAGGCATAACGCCAAGAAGTTTCATGTGCACTTTTTCATTTAAGTTAATAATCCCTATAAACCTGTGGGGGGGGGGTTGTGGTTTGGTTTGGTTTTGTTTTGCCATGTGTCAAGCCTTTCTCACCTTTAAACCTTCATTCTCCTGTTTCCCTTGTGGGACACCCTTCCTCTGAGTCTCAGCACAGGCAGGCCCTTCTGAACATCCCATTTCAGGAGTCTCAAATATTTTGAATATTCTTCCGAACCTCTGAGACTTAAAAAAAGAGAGATTTTGTTTATATAGCCAATATTCCCATACTAGGAATTAAAACTGAGAATTTTAAAAATTGTTAATTCATTTAAATAACTGTAACAAATGCATTAAATATGAACACAAAGCATACACTTTTATGAAAAATAACTAGATTTGTCCAAAACAATTTGTGAGATGCATGGAGTTGATCACAGTTTTATAATTCTTTTCAGTGTCTAGCCTAGGAGAAAACAGGCTGATTCTCATTTCTCTGCCATCTTCAACCTTTTGGGATATACTGCTTTAGTTAAAGTATATGAAGAAAATTTGGCCATGTACAGAGACATAATTGGAAAAAGGAATAGTATGCTATAGTGTTTTCATAGTTGTGTAAATTTTTCTGTTATTTTATCAACATTTGGTATGTAGTAATTTCTAAAAACTAAGTGACAATGTGAAATTGTATCGCGTTGATATAATTATACATTGAATTGAGCTGGTATGTTAAAATCCACTGCACATATGCACTTAGAATGGCTCCCTTATTCATGATTTTGTAACTATGCACATTGATCACTTAGAGAATAGTAGTTCACCGAGTTGATGACACATTTCCTTATACAAAGTCAAAACATCACATTCATTAATATCAACATTGATCTCATCAGAAAAGCACCAGGAATATGTCAAGGTGGAAGATATAATTTTCCAAAATTCTAATTTTCATTTGAAAGCTCAAACTTTATTATTGGCAACAAATACTGTCAGTTATTTTCCTTGAAATGACAGGCTCCCTTCATTCTTTTTTTTTTTTTTTTGAAAATATCTACCAGTTATCTAAGTCTGTATAATAATAATTTTTCTATCAATCAACTTTTAAGTAAAAGTGGGGTTTTATGAAAAAAAAGCAGCTAGTTTAGCTAGCAACTTGAATAATTGCACAGATGCTTTTCCTGGAGATAGCTGTAGTACTTTGGTAAGTAGCAGGAGTGCTTTATGCACACATCTACTGTAGCTTTGACCTGGAATGTCCCCAAAGGTCTAGGCATTATTGGAGGTTTAGTTTCCAGTCCACAGCACTATTGGAGGTACTGAAACCTTTAAGAGGTGGGCCTAGTTGGAAGTCTTGGGTCACTCGGGGCAGGTCCTTAAGGAGTCATTATCATACCTCCTTCTCCTCCTCCCTTTTTCACATCCTACTCATGAAGTGAGCTGCTTTGCTCCACCATGCCTTCCCCACCATGACAGGCTGCCTCGTCACAGACCTGTAAGCAACAAGGCCAACTGGTTATGGACTGATATCTCTGAAGCTGTGAGCCAAAATAAACCTTTCGTCCTTATAAGTTGATTACCTCAGGTATTTGTTACAGTAATGGAAAGCTAACTAACACACTGCCCACTTTCAAATATTTTCAAATGATTCGAGGATTAACATTTAATAAAGTTAATACTTTTTAGTGCTTCATCAAGAACACTCATAAATGAAAGTGGCTATTTCTGTACTGATGTGTGGTTAAGAAAACAATCACTGCTAGTATAATTTGGTGCCATTACGTGATAGGTACAAGCACCTTTATCTATTGTGGCTTCAACCTCGCAGTCAAAAAGCCAACACAGTAGTGCCCCCTTATCCAAGGGGAATATGTTGCAAGACTCACAGTGGATCCCTGAAATTGCAGATAGTACTGAGCTCTCCTATATATACATGCCTATGACTGAGGTTGTAAATTGGCCTGGGCATGGTGGTGCATGCCTGTAATTCCAGCACTGGGAAGGTTGAGACAGAAGGATTGCCATGAGTTCAAGGCTAACCTGGGGTACATAATCAGTTCAAAGCCAGGCTGAACTACAGAGTGAGACCCTGTCTCAAAAAAAAGGAAATTGGGCACAGTAATAGATTAACAACAATAATATAGAATACTGATAATATACTGTAACAAAAGTTATATAAATACAGCCTCTCTCTCTCCCTCTCCCTCTCTCTCTCTCTGAAAATATCTCATTGTACAATAAGATCTGATAACCAAACTGGTTTCTACGTGACAAAAGGACGGGTAGCATATATAGCATGGATATGCTGGAGAAAGGGACAGTTAAAAATTTCTGGTGGGACAGAGTAGCACAAAATGAGATTTCATCATGATACTCAGAACAGTGGTGATTTTTAAATTACAAATTATTTCTGAAATTTCCAATTAATGTTTTTGCAGTGCAGGTGACTATGGTCAACTGAACCCATGGAAAGAGAAATCACAGCAAAAGGGAGACTACTGTACAATAAAAATGGAAAATAAAATCTTTGTATTATTATGAAACTGATCTTGGCTTTGTGGACTGAGAAAGGGTTTCAGAGCCTCACCTCATCCTCTGCAGACCACAGTTTGAGAACTGTGGGCCTTCCCATCAGGGTCCATCCAGTTGAAGTTCTACATCCCATTGACCCGGTTGCTTCTAACATCACACTTAACACTGTACACAATTCTCTTTGTTTCTTACTTTGTATCTGCTTCTCCCACTTAAATTTAAGTTTGATGCCAATTCTAAGTACCCAGTGTCCAGCTTAGTAACTGCTATGTTGTGCAGCTCAATCATTTTTGGCTGATCACTTTTCCTCATTTTTCATATGAATAAGCCAGAGCCGAAGAGAGTGGTGGTCATCCAAGGTCATGGTAAGAAGAAAAGACAGGACTCGAGTTTGAGACAGCCTCCCGCTGACTCTTCTGCACTGGTTGTCAACAAGGCACATCTAATTAGAAGGGAATTCCCACAAAGGAGCATTTTATTCCTGGCTATAATTTTTAAAAAATCAATTTCTGTAACTGCAAGACCAGAAGGACGACTTTCTGGCCTTGTTGTTGTTGTTATTCAGTTGGTTTTACTATAGGAAAAATACCGTCATGCCCAGTAGAAACAAGGGCTTTGGCAGGGATGCTCTCCTCTTTACCTATAAGCTTGTGAAAGAGGTGTCTGGGGGAATGGGGCCAGGCGGGAGGGATTATTCAGGCCCCACTGGGAGGGGGCAGGTTTCATGCCCAGCCCTGGACAGCTCAGTCTCAGCCCCTCTTAGCCACAACATACCACCCTCTCTCTCCAGCCAAAGGGAGTTGACAGCAGGACCCACTGGAATACAGCAGCGGCTGGAAGTTACCAACATATCACTCAAGAGTCACAGAAAATGTAAAGCTAAGATCCTCATTCTTCAGACACAGACATACACCCTCTCTGTCTGCCTCCTACTCCCACCCAGGAACAAGACCCCATTCCAACATTTTGAATGACAGCATAAAAGAACGTGATGCTGGCCCACTGGCCTGTGCCTGTCTGTAGTCACAGCTACTTGGGAGGCTGAGGCAGGAGCATCGCTTGAGTCCAGGAGTTCAAAGTCAGCCTGGGCAACATAGCCAGACCCCATCTAAAAAAAAAAAAGAAACAAACAAACAAACCCTGAGTTCTTGTGCCTCTAAGCGACCAACCTTCAGCCTCCGCCACTTTCGACTTTCACAGACGTAAGTACAAGTCAGAGACCCAGATTCTAATATGAATCACCCTTATAATTATTTTCTTCACTTCATTCTCTTACCTTTTAAAATGACAGATAATGACATTTAAATGGCAGACAAGTGACTGAAAGTTCTGCAACCACTAACTCATCAGATGGGCGCCTGCCTTTTAAGAAAACTTTTTTTGAAAACAGATTTCTGAAAACTCAAATATCTGCTTGGAGTTTTCTTTTTGTACATGGCTTCCTCTACCCTTTTCTCAGAAAGAGCCTCTTTAAACGTGCAGCAGCGGGGCGGGCCTGCTGCGCGGTTGGCGGTGCCCTGGGCCTCGGGAAGAATCGAAGCGAGAGCCCCGCATCCCTGGAGGAGCGCGGGACGTGGGCGCGGCCGCCGCAGTGCGCTTGCCGCCGGGACTGCGCGCCGGGCGGGCCTGGCCCGGGGTTGTTTCCCAGCGCCGCGGGCTGCGCGGAAATCTTCAAAGGCACGGGAGGAATGAGCTGGGTACAGCCGAGCATTATCAGCCGCCTCGCCCCCTTTCCCCATCAGGCCATAATCCCCTCTTTGTGCGCTGGGCGAGCACCAAGCCGCTCGTAATTCCTCTCCCTTTTCCAGCTCCAAAGACCTCCGATTGCAGCCTGGCTCGTTAAATCCCTGCGTCGCGCAGGCCCGGACGGGCGGCGGGGCGGGCAGCGGCTCCTCGGCCCCGAGCCCGGGCGGCTCTTCCCACACTCCGGCCCGGGGGTGGCGATGCATTCTGATGAGCCCGTAAGGGGCCCGAGACGGGGCCGCCGCCCCCCGCGTCCTTAAGCGGGCGACACTTTCCGGACCCTTCAAAGTGAAAGTGGCTCCGCTCACAGAACAACAAAAAACCCCCAAGCCACGCTAAGAAGTCCCAGGGGAAAGAATTCGAATGAGCTCTCTCTGGCAGATTTTACTTATTGCTCAGGATGCCAGGAACTGGTCCAACATTCCGGGGAAAAGAGTAGAACAGAAAAGATGGAATTGAATTTTCTACCCTCGAGATGACTGTTGTTCTGTGATGCTACTGGTTAAAATTCACATTTAGAAAGAGAAAGAAAAAGAGGTGTCAGCTTACAACCTCCAGGAAAAAAATATTAACGAACCTTCCCTGAACACTGTCCAGGTGCCAGGTCTGGTTCTAAACGCTCAAATGCAATATATGTCATTTAATCTCACGCAGTTGAGTATGAATACATAATGCCATTTCCTCCTTTTTGTAGATGGGAACCCCAGAGCACAGAAGTATTTATCAAACTTTTACTTCAATGGGGAAACTCCCTCAGTACTGCTCCTTTTCTACCTTGCAAAACCAGGCTAGCTGACTGGCCCTGGGGGATTTACCTGGTTTTAGGTAAATTCTAACTCCACTCTCAGACAAGTGTCTCAATTCCCTCTGAGTCCCAGATTCTTTATCGGAACGAGGGCGCTCGCTGTTGACTTCTCAGGAATGCGGTGGAAAGCAAATGTGTTTGCAAGCACCTTGCAGAGAAGAAAGGCCTTCCGGAATGTCAAATAGTGTCACACTGTCTTGGTGCATCCCTGGAGTGGTGGCCCTAAACACACTTCCGGAGAAGGAAATCTAGGTCCCTCATCACCCCTTGGGGAAACTTCTGCCACAGTTTGTTACACAGACATTGGAAAAGCCCCCATTTCAAAGAAGCCTCCTTGTCCTTTAGCAATGTTAAATACACTACCAATGAACTTGGGCTGCTTCCCACAAGTATTTCTTCGTAACTTAGAAACAAATGTTGGTTCTATGGTTAATATCTTGTTCTGTGATGGGGAAAGAAGCCTTGTTTTCCCGGGGATTTAGCTCAGTGGTTCAGGTGCCTGCCTTGCAAGCATAAGTTTCCGAGTTCAATCCCTGGTACCAAAAAAAAAAAAAAAAAGAAGCCCTGTTTCTTTTTTAAGCTCGAAGACTGGGCTAAGGAAGCCACCAACTAGCTCTCTCTTCATTCACTGCCTAGGTCATAGCAATACAGTTTGGGGTGAGGTTCTCTCCCGCCTACCTCTGCTGTTAAAATCCTGTGTGAGGGGGTGGGTGAGAAAATCAGTCAGGAAAGCTCGGTGGAGATCTTCCTGTGAAGGAAAAGGGAGCATGCAAAACTCTGCACGCAGCTGGCCTGGAAATGCAAGTTGTCCTCTGCTACACAGTTGAAAGCAAATGATTCACTGAAAAAGCACAGGAAGACCTGACCCTGCCCAGTAGAGTGCTTCTGGAGGACACACCCTCTACAGGACCCCCTGTGGCACAAGCTCTGAGGGCAATGTTAGTCACTTCTTCTTTTTTTTTCTTTCATTTTTTTTGGTACCGGGGATTGAACCCAGGACCTTGCACTTGTGAGGCAGGCACTGGAACCACTGAGCTAAATCCCCATCACTTCTTGATACTGCTCTTGGCACAGTAAGGAGCCTGCTGTTGTACTTATTATTACTTATGGGTGTGGCCTTGCTATTGTTTGAATCTGAAATGTCCTCCAAAGGCCCATGTGCTACAGCCTGTGACACCATTGGGAGGTCATGCACCCTTTAAGAGATAGGGCTTAGTGGGAGGAAGTTAGGTCATTGGGGGCATGGCCTTGAAGGGATAGTGCCCTAGCCCCTTCTTCCTCTTTGTTCCCCAGACACCCTGAGGTCAACAAACCTCCTTTACCACATGCTCTGGCCAAGATGTATTGTGGCCTGACAGGAAGTGATCGGGCCAATCAACCACAGATTGAAATCTCTAACACACTGAGCCAACATAAACCTTTTCTCTTTATAAGTTGTTTGAGGCATTTTGTCACAATGACAAAGCTTACACAGGCCTGAGTCTGCACAGCCTATGAGGATGTAAGTGGGAACTCTGATTAAGACCTGACATTCAGGAACAACTTGCATCTTTGAAAAAGTAATGTTTTTTTTTTCCCCCTGTGAAACTGTGTGTGCTGAAATGGAGAATATTTCATTTAATTATACAGTTTACTATAGTTCCCATTTTTCTCTGGGAACCAGGAAACTTGGATGTACATTTATTGGTTTTAGCAGAAGTGTGAGATTTTTATGACCCATGTTACCTCCATACCATCTTGGATTCTGGGCTTTCCATCCTATCCATATCTTCCATAGCCCTAATTCAATATTTTCTCTGTTATTATAATATATATATATTCTAGACACTATTTTCTACTAGACCATTGTGGACCATTATAAATAAATAAAATGAATAAATGTTTCTAAATCCCTCCACCTGGGAGTGAGGCCTTAACAAAC